GTGATTCTTTTTCTTATACATTGCTTTTGTATTTATTTTTAAATTATTTTACTTATTTTTGTGCTGGTACTGAGGCTTGAACCCAGGGACTCAACCTCATTCAGCTTTTCTGTTCAACCACTTGAGCCAAACCTCCACTTCAGTGATTAGTCTCTTTGATTTGTCCACTCAAGCTAACTTCAAACTCTGGTCCTCAGATCTCAGCCTTCTGAGTTCATTGTTCCTTCCTACGGTTATACTAAGCCCTGTAAGTTTCAGAAATTTTCTGAAAGATTTTCCTTCTTGCTTCCAATAATCATTTTAATGACTCATAATGTATATTACTTCAAGAGAGCAAGGAAGGCCAGGCAAGGTGGCATGCAGCTGCTGGGGTAGTCCCAGATACTCAGGAGACTGAGAATGGAAGATTACAGGATTCTGGCATCAATCAATATTGGGAGTGGGGGGGAAGGGAACCAATGATAGAGCTTGGTAATAAGATTATATATAAGGTCCTGGGTTCCATCAACAGTACTGAAAAAAAAAAAAAGATCTAAAAATCTGTTGGTGATGGGAACATGGAGACATAAGGGGATGAAGGGAAAAATAAAGGTAGGAAGAGACAGACACAGAGAAAGGCAGAGAGAAACAGAGACAGAGACAGAGACAGAGGCAGAGAGAGAGAGAGAGAGAGAGAGAGAGAATGGATGCTCCCCAACACACACACACACACACACACACACACACACACACACAGAGCTGCCAAGAGTCTAACTGTAGACAACTCCCATCTGAGATGGCCCTCCAACTTAATTGTGCTCAAAGGAAGATACCACCCAAGGTTGCAGCCCCTTTGGGATGTTGGAGGAAGAATGGAGTATTGAGTGTGGAGGTAGTAACATAAAGCCTGCTCTCCATTTTTCCCTGCTGGGGACAACTCTGCAGGACCATCCCAGTGGCAGAAGCCTTAACTCCTGTTAAGGCTAAGGCCTTTGCCATGACCATATATGTAGTGCAATTCTTTCCCCTGGCCAGTCCTGCCCCATCCCACAGCTCCTGGTCCTGGGAGCACTCCCTGGTAAACTTCCTACATCTAAACTCAGCCTCAGACTGTTCCCAGGTAACCTGCTCTAGAAGCACCCCAAAGTGCACACCTTATAATAGGAACACTCACTAAAGGAAAGCCACCATGTATCCTCAAGCCTTAGATGCCACTTTATGTACCACTCCAGCTGTACATATGGCCTAGAAGTAGGCAATGCAAAACACTCTTACTGGGCTGGGAATGTGGCTTAGTGGTAGAGTGCTTGCCTAGCATGCATGAAGCCCTGGGTTTGATTCCTCAGTACCACATAAACAGAAAAAGCCAGAAGTGGTACTGTGGCTCAAGTGGTAGAGTGCTAGCCTTAGACAAAAGCAGCTCAGGGACCATGCCCAGGCCCCAGGACTGGCAAAAAAAAAAAATCTATCATATATCCATTTTAGACTCTTAAGTGATGTATGGAGTACATGCCAATACTAGTGTGGGAATACTACTGTAAGCACAGTAAGAGGCATCCAGGTTGGTCTCCAAACAAAACCAATAGAATCCAGAGTAGAAAAAAAAATATTCAGAGTAGAAAAAAGTTCACACCTGTTATAAATGGTAATAATGGCAGAGATTTTAAGCACTTACCATGTCAGACACTGTGTAAATCATATTCAAGATAATTGAAACCTTTTCATACAGTTATTCTCAATCTATGGAAAAATGAGAAGCACGTAAATTGGAAATTTGCTCCAGGTTACCAAGAGGGGAGGACCTCCACTACACCATTGACCAAGGCTCGTGCTTCCCATATGTGAGAAATTCTTACTCAGTAGTGTTTTGTAGTCATGTCTGCAAACAGTAGTATACTTTTGAAAGATCCCTTAATTACCTTTCTTATTCTAGACTGATAATCATGGCTTGGAGCCCAGGCATAAAGTGGGTTACTAAAAGTTCCTTGACTGTGGGAAACTAAGCTTCATAGAGTACTTAACCAACCTCATCCCAGATCCCTACATTAGTATGGAGATGTGAGAGTCAGGAGTCAGGATCCCTAGGATTTTTCTCCATTGAGCATGGTGAATAGAACTGCTTCCTGCCTTCTGTTACTAAACTCAAGGACTAAAGGCAAGTTTAGGTATTAAATTTAAGTCAGCTGATTTGAAAATGGCAAATAATTGGAGATTACTGGTCTATTAAAAATCTGGCAATGAGTTCAGTTACTTAATATAATCAGCATGCTGGGCTCTTAACAGCCACTTGGCCAATATGTACAGCACCCAATGCCAGTCTAAATATTCGAGCTTTCTGATTTTCCTTGGTTTACAAATGGCTCCCCTACTGAAATTCACCTTAAGCACTCACTGCTTTGTGATGGTGGTCTAAAATATACCCTTATCTCCTCATGCTCCAGATGATTGGAGGTGGGGTTTGGTAGAGGAGGTCAGGAGTGAATAAAGTAGCTTTTCCCAGTTAATTCCATTTGTTTTCCCTCTTCCTGTCTCCCTTCTCCCTCTTTTTTGAGACAGAGTAGCCTAGGCTGGCCTCAGACTTGCAATCCTCCCACCTCTGCCCAAAACCTGATTATAGCGTATAGATGTGTGCATCAACACCTGGCTGATTTACAACTTAACATTCTCCGGGAACTTACCTCTAATTACTATCTTCAGCACATGTCCCAATACACCAGAAAGCACAAGGACTGCAGTTCAGGCTAGCACTGACATAAAGCAAAAACCTACTCCAACAATAAGCAACACAAAAGAGGGCTAGAGGCATGATCCAGTAGCAAAGTAGTTGCCTAGCAAGTGGGAGGCCCTGAATTTATTTTTGGTTTTTTTTTTGGTTCCGGTCATGAGGCCTGAACTCTGGGCCTGGGCGCTGTCCCTCAGCTCTTCAGCTCAAGGCTAGCGCTCTACCACTTGAGCCACAGCACCACTTCCGGCTTTTTTTTTTGCTTATGTGGTGCTGAGGAATTGAACCCAGGGCCTCATGCATGCAAGTCAAGCGCTCTACCACTGAGCCACCTTCCCAGCCAGGCCCTGAGTTTAATACCCACCTTACTTGTAAATTTATTACACATGGTTTTAACCAAGCATGGTCAAAAAGGCTTCTTAAAAATTGAATTGCAAGCCAGGAGCTGGTGGCTCATGCTTATAAGCCTACTGAGGAGACTAAGGTCTGAGGAATGTGATTTGAAGCCAACCTAGGTAGGAAAGTCCGTGAAACTCTTATTACCAATAAACTACTCAGAAAAAGCCATAAGTGGTACTGTAAGGCTCAAGTGGTAGAGTGCTACCCTTGAGCAAAAGCCCAGCAACAGAGCTCAGGCCCTGAGTTCAAACCCCAGGACTGGCAGAAAAAAAAATAGGGGCTGGAGGCGTGGCTTAAGTGGTAGAGTGTCAGCCAATGAACGAACATCAGATACTGAATTTGAGTCTCAGTCTGGGACAAAACACACACACACACACACACATATAAATTCCCATATATTCATCATGAAGCTCACTTGATGTGAACAGTGACCCAAAAGCAAGGTAAAAGAAGCTTTATTAGATTTGCATGCAGTGGTCTTCTTGGAACCATACACCAGTGACACTGAAGGTCTGATCTAAGCTATTTTTATCCTTCTACAACTTGCTAGTTTCACTTCACATTATGCTTTTCAAATCCACATTAATACAGACTTAGGCTATTCCCCTTAAGACAGATTATGTAATTTATATATTGTTATATAAATAGCATTTTAAATATTGAGACACTCTCAGTACTACGGGTTAAATTCAGGACCTCATACACACTAGACAAGCTCTCTTACGCTTGATCTGTGCCCCTATCCTTTCGTATGTATTTTGCTGTTTATTTTTTTTACTTATACTGGGATGTGAACTCATTAGCCTCTCATTTACTCTGTGCTAAACCACTTCCAAGCATACCCTCAGCCCAGCTTTTTGTTGGGGTATTTTGGAAATTTAGTCTCATGGACTTTTCTGCTTGGACTGGCTCCAAAATCAAGATCCTTTGGATCTCAAACTCTTGAGTGGGGAGGAGTACAGACATGAGCCTGTTTTTGAGATAGAGCCTCACTAACTTTACCTGGGCTGGCCTCAAATTTACAATCCTCCTGCTTCTGCCTCCCAAGTGGCTGGGATTGTAAGTGTGTACCACCATGCCCAGCTAAATATAACTTACAAATAATTTTGCCAGGCACTGGTGGCTCACACCGATAATCCTAGCTACTCAGGAGGCTGAGATCTGAGGATCACGGTTCAAAGCCAGCCTGTACAGGAAAGTCTGTGAGACTCTTATCTCCAATTAACCACCAGAAAACTAGAAGTGGCGCTGTGGCTCAAGTGGCAGAATGCTAGCCTTGAGCTAAAGAGCTCAGAGAGCTCCCAGACCCAGAGTTCAAGCTCCACCACTGCCAACAAAATAAATAATTTTATGGTACATAAATGACCAAAAAGGATGAACAAATCACTAATAAAATGCAAACCAGCTGGGTGCTGGTGGCCCACACCTGAAATCCTAGCTACTTAGGAGCTGAAATCTGATCGTGGTTCAAAGCTAGCCAGGGAAGCAAAGCCCATGAGACTCATTTCCAATAACCACCAGAACACTAGAAGTAGAGCGGGGGGGGCTCAAAGTGGTAGAATACTAGCCTTGAGCAAAAGACCTCAGGGATAGCACCCAGGTTGTGAGTTCAAGCCCCATAATCGACCAAAAACAAAACAAACAAAACCATCTATTAGGATACTAGTAATATGAAGTTGTTATAAGGCCTAACTGTGACTGGGCATACAACTGTGGCTCACACCTACTCAGAAGGTTGAGATCTAAGGACCACAGTTCAGAACCAGTCTGAGCAGACAAATCCCAAAAGAAGTATGGGAGTATGGTAGAAGAACAGCTGTGAAGAAGAAACCTGAGCAAGGGCATTAAAGACGAGTTTAAGCCCCCAGTACTGAAACACACAAAATACATCATTGCAAACTCAGGGTGTGAAGCATATTTATTGAAAAATGATAAGCACTCTATAGATCATAAACACATTCATTTATACAAGCAATTACAATTAAAGTAACAGCTTACTGAACTATCATGACATAAACATAATGCATACATAAGCATTTCATTTAGGTTTTTTGCTTTCTTCTTTTATGGCTATGATGTCTTTCTCCATCCCTGAAATAAAAAAGATATTTTAGAACATATTATAAATAATGGGCATTATAATGTCAGAGCTTTGAAATAATATTCAATAGTAATGTACTTTTATTAGGCAGGAGCTATAAGAAATTAAGAACTGAATGGTAACTTGGTTTTGTCTTGTTTCATTTTTTGTAGTCGTGGAGCTTGAATTTAGAACCGGGCACTGTCCCCAAGCTTTTGTGCTCAATCTGACTCTTTGCTAGTTAATTAGAGAGAAGAGTCTCCAGAACTTTCCTGCCTAGGCTGGCTGCCTTTGAACCAAATCCTCAGATCTCAGCCTGCAGAATAGATAAGATTTCAGGTGTGAGCCACCAGTGTACAGCTAGGTAATTTAAGACGAAATAAGGAGAATCAATTATAAACTAAGAACAAAACTAAAACAGGCATGAGCAAAATAAATGCATGTTCTGGAGTTCTGCGTTAACATTAACTTTGAATGTACATGATAGAACCTAAGAGTCATTTCAAATAGAATTTTAAAGTCACATGAAGAATTAAAGAATTGACTTTTTTTTTACTCTGCCTCCTATCTCAACTCATTCCACCTAAGGGTGAATATCAAAAATTTAGTTCATACTATTAAGAATTATTTCCTGCTAATACTTCATTTATCTTGTCTAAAGGAAATTTATTTCACATTTAGTTTTTGAGGACTTCAAATGTACTTATTCTATGGAGACTGAACAGATAGAAGAAGCAGTAAGAAGTTTCAAGTGAAAGCAATAAGTTCTGAAGATTAGCAGGAACTAACTTGTATATGTATAATTATATCATATGAATCAGAAGGGATTCTGGATGGTAGTATGATGAGCAAAAACCAAACAATTAGGCAAAGCTTTACTAATTCTTCATTAACAGTGGCCCTGAAAAGATAGGATATCTTAATATGGAACCCTATTATTTGACAGGTGCCATGCATATAAAACAGTATGACATGCACTCTGCCTTCAAAGGAGCTTAGTCTAGAAGAGAAAATAATGACTATGAAATTCAATAACAGGCATAAGGTGGCATGATTACAGAAGGAAAAAGAGGAATCTTTGCTCAAATGAGTATAAAACGCTTCAGGAAATGACAGATCTGGGTTTAGCTTCCATTCTCCCTCTAAAGTTTGTTTAGTTGTTGTTATTTATTTTGGAGGAACAGAGTTTTAATCAAAGCAATCCTTGATTTCAGCCTCCCAAAATTCAGGAAGCTAGAATTCCAAGCATAAGCTACCAGAGCCTGATGACTCAGCTTGTTTTAAAGGATAAGAATTCCCCCAGCAGGCTTAAAAAAAAAAAAAAAGTAGAAAAAATAAAATGTGTACTAAAGCATAGATGTAGATGTAGTCATAGATGTGGGTCTCTAAGTAATTCTACCTTCATGGAGTCAGCAAAATAGGTAGCATCTCTAATCTTAGAAATACTGGGAACCATTCTGAAGACAGTGAATGTTGCCAATGATTACTTTTTTTTCCTTTTTGTGATGGTGCAGGAGAATCAAATCTGAGGCTCTACCTCTGAGCTATATTCCCAGCAAATTTATCAAAAATGAGCTTTTAAAATTTTACTCTGGCAAGTGGGAACTGGGAGTTCCTACCTGTAATTTTAGCTACCTACTCAGGAAGCTGAGATCTAAGGAGTGCAGTTTGAAGCCAGCTGAGACAGGAAAAGTTCATGAGACTCTTATCTCCAATAAACTACCCCAGAAGAGTTGGAAGTAGAGCTCTGACTCAAGTGGTAGAGCACTAGCTTTGAGCAAAAGCAGCTCAGGGACAGTGTTCAAGCCCCAGGACTGGTATACATACAAAAAATTACTCTGGTAGACAGAAGGGATGGATTCACATGGGAGAGACATGAAGAACAAGTAGGGAAACTACCACATGTTCCAGACAGACAATGACAGGAACCAATAGGAGGAAGAACGTAAGATGTCTTCAGGAACTGACAGGAAGCTAGAAATGGACCAGACCAGATGATAAGTAAGGAGGTAGACAGAGGAAGATCATCCCACTAACTAGAATAATAGGGAGAAAGGGTACTGAGAAAAAGATGTTTAGTTGATGAACATGAGATCCAGGCAGAAGCCAAGTAAGCAGCTGGCACACAGGAATAGATCTCAACTGATTTAAATTTAGCATTTTGTATTAACTCATATTTTTCAAGTATCATAAAAATTATGCTAGTAAGTTAATAATAAGGGCAAAAATGACTGGAATTGAAGTTTGGATTTCTTTCTGACACTAAATATACTTCAACTGAGGAATCAGCAAGAACATAATTTTTTTTTTTTAAGGAGGATATGAGGTAAAGAGCAGAACAAAGAATGTATGCATCTTTTTAAGACAATTATTGTTCTAGCCAGACAAAACTTTCTTGTGTGTTGGCTAAGAAGCAAGTAAGTGACAGGAAAGGGTAACCCACATCTTAATGTACACATAGAGAACTAAATCACCAGAGGGTGGTATCTGAACTGAACTATGAGTCTCCTCTTTCTTTACTTTCACAATGTGAAAGGAAAACTGGTCTGCTTTTTTTTTTTTTTAATTGTGAAAATACTGTACAGAGGGGTTAGAATTACATGGGCAAGATAATGAGTACATTTCTTATCAAGCATTGTAGCCTCCTCCTGTGTTTCCCCTTCCCATCCCTTCCCATCCTCCCCGCCCCCCCAACAAGTCCTCCCCCCTTCCCCTCCCCCCAAAGTTGTAAAGTTCATTTTTCGACATAACAACTTGTACATCTCATTGTTGCAATGGGTCCACCTGTATCCCTGTTCTGGTCTGCTTTTCAAAAGTAAGCAATTCAATGTTGGGTGAATAGGGTTAGACTTACCTCTCTTTCCTCCTTCTTGACTCAGAGTTTTTGTCCCTATCCTTATTTCTTTTCCGTTTATGTGGACTCCTACTCCGATCCCTTCTATATCGTGAACTCTCTGTGTCAAAGTAGCTTCCACCAGACTGTCGAGAATCTATTGAGGCTGACCGCCTCTCTTCGTTCCTAAAACACAGAGAGGAATGTTAGTCATTCTATTTCACCACCAATCCCTGCTACACACAGACAGCAACCTAACAAAACATTCTGTATCATACAAACAGTTAACAGGATCCAAATAACTTTATACTTCATGAGGGAGGTTTAAAAAATATAGCTCCTTCCTGTAATATACTTCACTTAATGCTCCATGCCTCTTCCATAAAACTAGCAAGGTCATAGAATAACTTTTGTGTAATTCCTTTAAAATAAAAAAATTAGAAGACTAGCAAGGTCATAGAAGAATTTTTGTATAATTCCTTTAAAAAAGTTTCTAAGGAGTAAGTTTATTTTGGTTTTATTTGAATTCATGAGAGAAAATTTAAAATAAATTACTAAGTCAAAATTACAGAAATGGCTGAGTACTGGTGGCTCAAACCTAATACTAGCTACTTAGGAGGCTGAGATCTGAGAATCAAGGTTCAAAGCAAACCCAGACAGAAAAGTTTAGAAGACCCTTACCTCCAAAAAAACTGCAAAAAAAAAAGTGGAAATGATGGTATAGTTCAAGTGGCAGAGCTCCAATCTTAGCAAAAAAGCTAAGCAAGAGCATGGGGCCCTAAATTTAATCCCCAATACATACTACCACAAATGCATGTGCACATGCTCGTGCTCACACACTCAGACTCACACACAAATAATAACTAATAACTAATAATTTATATAACTATAAGAAGTTAGGAAATTGGAGTAATTGAAGAGGATCTTCTTGGACTGCAAATATTCTCCATCATTTCTAGCTGGGGCTATTTCAGCTTTAAAAGCAGTCACAGTATATTATTAATTGGGCTACAAATAAGTATCTTATCTGGTTAGAGAGCACTAATGGGGTAAAAGGACAACAAATAAGTTAAAGACACTGATTCTACTCAGTAAAGCTAGTAAGAATGTAAGAATTCTTAGCCTCTTATCCTCATCATCCTGCTTCCATCTCTGAAAAGACATGAGTGCTGCACTAACTTTCCATTTCTTCCTTACCCTAGTAACAAGAACTTACAATCTGAGATGGGAGAAGGGAAGAAACACTCTTTGTCCTTCCTTTAGTACTTCTTAAGTATAATTAATTCAGTCTTTTTAAAGCATAACAATCCTGAGCACGGATGACAATATCACAGTATAGTACATGGGTCTTAGAAATGTTAAGATTAACAACTTTAAGCAATATATTTAAAAAGATAGTATTTTAAGACATCAGTCATCCAAGCACTTCAGGGGTAGAGGCAGGAGGATCAAGAGTTTAAGGCCAGCTAAGACACTGTCATACTTCTCAACATAATCCTCTGCTTTCTCCTGCTCTTCTCGCCAGTGGTTACTGAGTTCTTCCATGTGCACATTTATCACATCTCGAATCACCTTAGGAGAAATAAGCACCACATGTCAAATGAAGTTGTTTGCAAATTAATTACTATAAAGCATCTTGGATCACCTTAGGAGAAATAAGCACCACATGTCAAATGAAGTTGTTTGGAAATTAATTACTATAAAGCATCTCAGATCACCTTAGGAGAAATAAGCACCACATGTCAAATGAAGTTGTTTGGAAATTAATTACTATAAAGCAATCAGTGCTAATAACCAAAAATTTACTAAAAGCCATGTCCTAACAGACTATGACATGTATGCACTTTAAAGAATAAGCAAGATCTTATTTCAAATAGAGCTAAAAAGCTGCTGGAGGTATGGTTCAGGTGGCAAAGTACCTCCCTTGAGTTTAAACCCCAGTACCGCCAAAATTTAAACAGAATACCTTGAGCCAAGGTCTACTGAAAACTTAATACTTTCATCATGCATAATACAGCTCAAAAATTGACTTTTAAGTCTGTGCCACCTTTCTCTATATAAGACTGGTATTCTAAAAGCCTTTGCGTAGTAAAAGTGAGTCCAAAAGTGCCATGGCAATCAGGTTCAGATTAGGTTATAACCATCCAAGACACACTTTTCTTCACAAAACCTCCCAGGAGTTGAAGAAATCCATAAAATAGATCAGAAAATTTTTGTTCTCGATCTTAGTCTCCAAGACAATGTAAAACTTACCTCGGTGTATGATTTCTTGGTTATGTGAACATTCTTAGCTCTATAGGACTGGCGTCTTCTTTTGTAATCTCTCACTTCTGCCAGGATTTCAAGGTACGACTTTGGACTCTTTCGGCTATTATCTAATGAAAAACACAATTATATCCTTAGGATTTTTGTGTCTGGGGCTTGACCTCAGGGCCTAGGCACTCTCTCTGAGCTTTTATGCTCAAGGCTAATGCTCTAACACTTTGAGCCACAGCACCACTTCCAACTTTTTGGTACTTAATTGGAGATAAGAGTCTCATGGACTTTCCTTCCTGGGTTGCCTTTGAACCATCTTCAGATCTCAGCTTCCTCAGTAAGTAGGATTACAGGCATGAGCCACTGATAACCAGCTTTATCATATTCTTAGGAACTTTGAAATTTTCAAGAACTACCAGGAATAACAAGCATCACAATCACCCTATATTTCAATGTTTCAAGATAATATGCAAAACAGTCTACACACACACATACACATTACATCATCTCCTATCTCTAACCATTAATTGAGCATAAGAGTATCTAGATACACAGACTAAAGTAAGAACACAGTAAATAGCATTATTCTGACAGAAAGAAGATATCTGAATAGCAGGAAGCTGGTGGCTCAAACCTGTAATCCTTAGTTACTTAGGAGGCTGAGATCTGAGGATCGCAATTCAAAGACAGCTGGGGCAGGAAAGTCTTTGAGACTCTTACCTCCAATTAACCAGTATAACACTGGAAGTGGCACTGTGGCTCAAATTGGTAGAGTGCTAGCCTTGAGGAAAAAGCTCACAGACAGTGCAGCACCTCAAGGCCCTGAGTTTAAGCCCCACAGCACACACACTGTGCGCACACACACACACATACACACCCACACACCACCACCACCACCTTAATATGACAATTTCAAATGATACAAACATTTTTCCCCAACTCAGAGTGGCAGTATAACAAAATCATTTTAAGAGCACACAGGATGATATAACAATAAGAAACAAATAATATTTATCTCAAACCTTGATTGACTTTGGCAGCCAAATCAACAAAGAGATCACTGTCATTTTCAATGATATGGGAATCAGAGCGCTTTTTCTTTGTCTCTTCAACAACAAAATCATACAGGGCAAGACGATCAGCTTGAGTTAGATCACAAACAAACCGTTTGTGATTCAGAGGAACTTCAACAGGCAATGAAGAATACATTCCTAAGGTAAAAATAAAGCCACAATAATAAATAATATATGAAGCACTATAGACTTAAAATCTACTACTTTATGCATGTGATGTAACAACGCCTACTGTTTCTACACAGTAATCTCTAAATACACAAAGCATCAACCTATGTAATAACTGATGAACAATGACTATCCTGAATGTTATACCCATAGAAAGTATGTACCATTTAACATTGTTAAGATAGATCCCATGAAGACAAGCAGTAATAATAATCATTAAGAAAAAAAATGGTCGTAAGAAAACCTTTTCTGTTATGAGATTTTACTACTTTGCCTTGAGTTGGCTCAAGGTATCTCTTGCCTCTGCCTCACAGATAGCTGGCACTAGAGGTGTACACCACAGCACCCAGTTAAGAAAGCCCTTTGGGTAATTTTTAAGATTATCCATACTACAAAAATGCGTATTACTTCCCATGTATATAGTTTTCCTCATAAAAGTGGAAGAAAAATGTTTTCAATAACACACATTACAGTTATTTAAAAAAACTATGACAATACAAACATTTGTAAAAAGTGTCTTTTTGAGACATTTATATTCAATTCTGAAAATACAACCTTCTTGTCCACTGACTTGGTGTATGCCAGGTATGCTGGCATACACCTATAATTCCTGTACTTGAAAGAGGCTGACGTGAAAAGATAGTTCAAGTCCAGCTTGAGCTATTCAGTGGGTTGAGGTCAACGAGGAAAGAAAAAAAGGAAAGAGGATGGGAAGAAGGGAAGGGAAGGAAAGAGAGATGAAAGAAAGGGAGAGAAAGGAAAGGGATGGAAGAGAAAGGAAGGGAGAAGAGAAAGAGAGCAAATACTTCCTTACACCAGAGAAACATATATTAAGTGAAATTAAATTCATTCTAACTCCCTGAAGAGAAAGCTTACTGGCCTAACCAAAGTAACTGAAAAGTTGTAACAGTAGTGCTCTTTGATAGTTTATAGGACTTTCTAAAATCTGCTTGTCAATGAAAAAAGTCAATTTAATACCTTAATATGATGTGTTTATAAAGCACTGAAGAAAATTTTTGCTTTGAGATTCACATGTTCTCAAAGAAATAAAATTTCTATAATTATGAATAAGGTAACTTAAAACAACCTTTCTAATGCAAACAAAGGACATAAATTACTAAAGGTATTTTTCTAATGTTTGCTAGATTATCCTAAAGTATTAACTCTGGCTCAAAAAACAATGTACAAAGATCAAATCTCTAAATAGTTACTTCTATTAGATCAAGTCTAATCTTAACTTCTGAGGACAAAGGCAAAGGAGTAAGACATACTATGAACTAAGTTATAACAAGAGAGTGAGAGGAAGGAAGGAAGGAAGGAAGGAAGGAAGGAAGGAAGGAAGGAAGGAAGGAAGGAAGGAAGGAAGGAAGGAAGGAAGGAAGGAAAGGAAGGAAGGAAGGAAGGAAGGAAGGAAGGAAGGAAGGAAGGAAGGAAGGAAGGAAGGAAGGAAGGAAGGAAGGAAGGAAGGAAGGGACTTTACATTAGTCCACAAATTAAAGAAAGCTACACTGGATCTGGGACTGTCTAGCAACTATAGATAATGATACACAGCTACTTTCACTAGACAAGGAGTTTGGAGTTAGTAAGAAAGGTTCCCTCTGAGTCAGTCAGTTCCACTTTAATACTGGAAAGTATTATCAAAAGTCCTTTTAGGTAGCCAGCTGTTAAAACATTTAATTTTATAATATAAAATTAGCTCTGAAAAAACTAATTTCTTTTGAATATAGGCTATAAAAATATGGGGAAAAGACAAAACTTAGAAAACGATGTATTATAAACAAGCTCCTCATAAACCTATGTTGGTAATCTTTCACAAAGAAATATAATATCCTTAAAATATTTTGGCATTTTCTTTGATTTACTCATCTTGAATTTCATTATGGTAAAGATCAATACTTAAACGTCTTAAAATTCAACAAAAATTCCAAATCCAGACTGTAATATTTTGACAGCTATTAAGATTGAAAAGTATGAATGATACTTTTAAAAGGATATTTGCAAAAAGGATACTGCATATCTTTAAATAAGGAGTATATTCAGGTTCCTAATTCCTCTTATACTCACCCCAATTACTGAAAAAGAAAAAGTACAGGAAAAGTTAAGCAACAAACTGCATTCAAATCTTTCAGAACACAGATATTCTGACAAAAACATACTTTTAAATAAGCTTACATTTACATAAAATGAATTTTCAAAATGCAAGTTTCTTACATAATTTTTGTGCTATAATTGTGCCCCCTCTTTTGGTATTTAAAAATGGTAGTATTTAAAAATATTTGGTATTTAAAAATGGTATTTAAAAATATAAAAATATATAGTTCATCCTCTGCACTCCTTTTTTTTTTCCCCACCAGTTCTGGGGCTTGATTGAACTCAAGGCCTGAATGGTGTCCTTTAGCTTTTTCACTCAAGGCTAGTCCTCTACCACTTGAGCCACAGTTCCACTTCCAGCTTTTGGGTGGTTAATTGGAAGAAAGAAGTCTTATGGGCTTTCTTGCCTATGCTGGCTTCAGACAGTGATCCTCAAATCTCAGCATCCTACCCTTTTAATCTTTTTTTTTGGGGGGGGGGGGGAGAGGAAGAGCATGAGCTCTGGGCCTGGTGCTGTTCTTAAGTTTCTTCTGCTCAAGGCTGGCACTCTAACACTTAGCAACAGAACCAGCTTTGTCTGAATGCTTTATTGGAGTGTCTCAGAGTCTGAATGAATAGTTTATTGGACGTAAGAGTCCCTGAGTTGGGGACCAGTGGCTCATGCCTATAATCCTAACTACTCAGAAGGCTGAGATCTGAGGACTATGGTTCAAAGCCGGGGGCAGGAAAGTTCGTGAGAGACTTATCTTCAATGAACCACCAAAAAATTGGAAGTAGAGCTGTGGCTCAAAGTAGCAGAGTGCTAGTGTTGAGCAGAAAAACTAAGGGACAGTGTAGTGTCCAGGCCTTGAATTCAAGCCCCACGACTGACCAAAAAAGAAAGTCTCTCAGACTTTCCTGACAGGGACTAGCTTCAGACCACCATCCTAAGATCTCAGCCACCTGAGTAGCTAGGATTGTGTAAGCCGCTTGCTGGTACCTGGCTACCACTCCTACCACACACACACACTTTTTTTTTTTTTTTTTTGCCAGTCCTGGGGCTTGAACTCTGGCCTTGGGTGCTATCCCAGAGCAACTTTCGCTCTACCACTTAAGCCACAGCTCCACTTCTGCTTTTTATGTCATTAACTGGAGATAAGAGTCTCAAGAATTTTCCTGCCCCATTCACTTCAAAAACAATCCTCAGATCTCAGCCTCCTGAGTGGCTAGAATTACAGGTGTGAGGCACCAGCACTAGGCCAGGCTATACCCTTTTAATCATTTTTAAGCATACAATTCAGAGGCAATAAGTATGCTCACACTGCTACACAACTGTCATCACCAGCCATCTCCAAGGCTTCTCATTACCCCAAAATAAAACTCCTAATTCTTATTCCTTGTAAATCACTTCTGCCATCATCACAGGGAATCTCAAACACATGACATATGGTATTAAACATTATTTAGTAAAAGGAAATGCCACAATTTATAAATCCAGAATTTTATGAAGAATTCATACAGAAACAATTCCGTAACATTAAAATTGAAGGTGTAAAATAACTTTCTTTAAAGTCTTACAGTAGAATGAATAGCAGATCGTTTTAGAAATGGTTTTAGAAAGCCATTCTCTTCAGTTTCTTTGAAATTCTATAAATTATAGTACACTGGTCTTTAAATCATGGCCAGGCTCAAAAACACTTCATGAAATTAAAGTATGGCTACCTGAATATTCAATGTTTAAGAAAACTGACAAACCTCTAAGTACAGAGGTCACTATTGACAATGTAAGTTGGAATCTCGGTTACTGTGTGTGAAGCTAAAGGGTAGAGAAAACCACTGAAACTTGAACAAAGGCTAACAGATTCAGAATTCTGTATGCTGAGTTTGGACTTGATACAACCAATACAATAAACACACACAACCTCATTAAGAAAATTTCAGTATGTACAAAACAAATGATTAATTACGTAGGTAAATACAAAACTTTTCATTCTCCTTTCAAAACAAATGAATAAGAAGATATTTTCAGACATTCTTGTTCCGAAGCCAAAGGTTTAAAAACATCTATGGCATAAGTAAGCCATAAGAAGAATTCCTGTTGTAAAATTGGAAGCACTCTACAAAGGATATGAAAAAGTTTCAAAACAAGGGTTACAAATCAAATAGAAATAGTTTTTCTTAGCAATGTTATCTTAATTCACACTCCAAAGTCTGAATTCAGGGCCTCATGCTTGCTTGGTAGGTACTTTTCCACTAAACTCCAGCTCCTCTTATCTATCAAAAGAGCTGTCCATTCAGAGTAATTCTTTGATGTATAAGGCTCTGGGTTCAATCCCCAGAACCAGAAAAAAGAGACTAACTTCAACAGGAGAGAAAAAGAACTGTTATTACACCCTGATGAGAGCAAAGAGAAAAAGGAAAGCTGTCCAGGGGCTGGGAAGGTGGCTCAGTGGTAGAGTGCTTGCCTTGCATGCCAGAGGCTCTAGGTTCGATTCCTCAGCACCACATAAGCAAAAAGAAAAAAGCCAGAAGTGGCACTGTGGCTCAAGTGGTAGAGCGTTAGCCTTGAGCTGAAGAGCTGAGGGACAGCGCCCAGGCCCAGAATTCAGGCCCCACGACCGGACACCCCCCCCCCCCCCCAAAAAAAAAAGGAAAGCTGTCCAGAGAAAGCTACCTACAGAAGGCTCAACCAAAAAACTCAGAAATCTTTCTAAAAGGAATCAGTCATGCTTTGGCTACATATTATACCTAGGACCAAAATCCTAAACTACTAACTTGCTTACCTTTTTTTTTTTGTGACATAGAGCCACACTGCCAGTTTTCAAAATTTTAAGCTAGTCTCTATGTAAGTCTCAGGAAGAAACTCCAAAGCTGAACACCGAACGATCCAAAACTCCTCTAAACACCATGTATCCCTTTCAGTGGAAGATACCCGTGGCATTCATTATCACAAAAGGGTCAAACCCCCCCCAAAATTAAAAATTATGCTAAGTGATACCAAAGACAACTATGCCATCTCTTTTCTTTCCTTTTACATTTTAACATTCTTGAGAGGAACTCTGAGGGTAGGAACCTCACCTTAGCCAGGCTCCAGTGGCTCCTGACTATAATCGTACTACTCAGGAGGCTGAGATCGGAGGGTCAAAATTCAAAGCCAGCCTGGGCAAGAAAGTCTGAAGCTCTTCTCCAAATAACTACCAAAAAAGCTGGAAGTGGAACTGTGGCTCAAAGGGTAAGTAGAGCACTAGCCTTAAGCAAAAAAGCTAAAGGACAGAACTGACACGGAAAAAACAAAAAAGTGAAAGAATCTCACTCAATGGCAAATTGCCTATTAGGCAATCTCATCAGTTAGTAATTCCAAACCATGGAACCTACTGTTAAAGGTCTAAGACCATGGTATGTCTGGGCAGGAAATATCTAACCAATGTATCTGAAGCAAAGCCAATTAGCCTAATGTTAAATATAAAACTTAACTTTTTCTTAACCATTTCCCAAGGTTTTCCTTAAAGGAAATTAGCAACATGTTTGTAGGAGAAAAATAATCTGACTCATCCATGAGCTCAAGCTATGAGATCACTTACTTTGATTGTAACAATCACCATCTTTTCCAGCTGTGGTCCTAGCATGTTTAATTATCTCAAATTGTGAATCCTTATCTGCCAAAAAAAATTCACAATTATATTATGAAACATAGTGTCCAAAATTAAATAATTAACTGGTTTCCAATCCAAGGCCTTTGGGCACATTTACAAACTTTCCAGAATCTTGAGAGAAAACATCCATGTAATCAATATGCCAATATAATCTAAATAACAGGATTCTTTCCAATTTCTCTAGGGCCTAGGTGACCAGATTTCAAGCAGTTTAGAAAACACAATAATTAGGCATGTAGGAATAGCAGCTACAAATGAGAGCAACTAGGAAGAGGTAACATGTCTTGGAACACAGCTAAGCATCAGGCACTATTCTAAGTATATTAGATAAATCACTTAATCTTAAAAGCTATTATCACCATTTTCATTTTATAAAAGTATTTAAGCAACAAGTTGGCCGCCAGTGGCTCACACCTGTAATCTTAGCTACTTAGGAGGCTGAGATCTGAGGATCATGGTTTAAAGCCAGCCTGGGCAGGTAAGCTCGTGAGACTCTTTTCTCCCATTAACCACCAGAAAACCAGAAGTGGAGCTGTGGCTCAAGCGGTAGAGTGCTCGCCTTGAGCTGAAGAGTTCAGGGACAGCTCCCAGGCCCAGAGTTCAAGCCCCATGACTGACCCAAAAGAAAGGCATTTAGGCAACAAACAGTTGTAACTATCTTGCTGAAAATCACACATTACTGACAAAACCAGGAGTCGGACCTGGGCATTTTGTGTCTAGAGTTCAAGACTTAAATCACATGCAGTGAATACCTGAAAAATATCCCATTCTCATTTTTATTGTAAATCTATGCTGTGTGCTCAGTTGTTTTTTGTTATTGTTGGTCATGAGGATTATATGCATGAGCCACTGGAGCCTGGCTCAAATTTTTGTTATAACTAAGAAGGAAGGTATCTGCTCCACTGTACAAAATTTTTCAGGGTTTCACTGCCTATTAATCTAAGTCTAGCCCCTAAACTCAGATTATAAGAATTAGTTTTACTGTACATTAACTCTATATTCTCAAGATCTAACTCTCAATCATAAGCATGCTTATAAAATCTTTTTCTTTTTGCCATTACTACGGCTTGAACCAAGGACCTAGATCTCTCATTCAGCTTGTATGCTCAGCTGACACTCTGCCACTTGACTCACACCTCCAGACTGTCATTTTTGCTAGTCTATTGGAGATGGAATCTGCAAACTCATCTATCCAGAGTGGCTTTGAACTTCTATCCTCCAAGTTTCAGTCTCATGAGTAGCTAAGATTACAGGTATGAGCCACAGGCTAGAATCCATTCTTTTGATAATTAATACTAAAATTAATATTAAAGTTATGATCTAATAATATAATACTTACTCAAAGTAATGGAAGGCACCTTCACATTCTCATAGAAAAAATCAGGATTATACATTTCATCCTAAATCATAAAAAAAAATCCTTAGTTTTCTTAAGGAATAGATAATTGAATAATTGATTAGCTTAAGATTCAATATAAACTAATAGTGACAGTGCCATTTAAATATTTATCATACTAAGTATGTGAAATTAGGCAAGTGCCAATCTACCCTACAAGGACTACTATTTTATGTCAGAAAAGTACACAATACATCTTGCAAATATTGTGAGCTTAATAACACATGAATTATGTGACATGTGTAATAAACTGTACCTCTTCTTCTTTTGTATAGCCCAGTTTCCTCAATTTACAAGATTTCATGTGCTTTGCTAAAGATGATTTAGGCATTTGATGATTGGAATCATAAGGGCATATCACAACTTGATCCTATAAAAATTAAAGAGAAACAGAGGGGAAAAGAATATTTTAAAATTAATTTTATAATTATTACAAAACATCTCCCTCAATCCCACATCCCTCTAAAGCCTTTGCCTCCTTCAAAGCCTAACTTTGTGAAAAATTTGATTACACTCACTGTCATGCACCTCACCCATAGCTATGTCTCATCCATTGTCACCATTACTTCACTGATACCAGTTAGTAGGTCACCAGCAACCTTCTTTATGCGAAAGTCAAAGAACATATCGAAGCCCTTATAATATTTAAATTCTTGGCTATAGGTGTGGTTCAAATAGTAGAGCTCTAGGCATAAGCCAGCAAGGTGAGAAAGTGATCTGAGTTCAAGCCCTGGTAGGGAGAAGATTAAGTGCAAGAGGTGGAGAGATTTGAACTTTTGAAAGTTCATGATCCACTTGTCCATTTCTGTCTTCCTGATATACTTTCCATATTATTTCTACCTGTTTAGATCTTTCTAGTTGGTTCCTCTGAAGATCTGTTTCTTTAAATACAGGTGTTTCAGAGAAGTCTAACATTCTCTTGTCACTCAGTAAGTGCTTATGAAGAAGGTTACAGCTTCAATTCTAACTACACAGTGACGACTTCCAAAACCTAGACCATTAGAAAATCATTAAGAATTCAACATGAACAAAACTAAATTCAATATATTCATGGGCTCCTAATACCCAAATGTGTTTCTTTTGAATCTTCCCATTTCAGTGAAAAGTTCTACCTGCATAGGCAAGAAACTGCCTCTTTCACCATCACTCATCTACTCATTTACGTAGGCCTGTCAATTCTCCTAAATTACTCTCTGAAATCCTCCAAAGTGAGCTCTATTCTTACTGCCATCCCGCAGTTCAGGATATACCTTCTCTCTTGGATTACACTACCATCTCCTAACTACTCCCCATTGATGCTTCATCTTACTGTACTCAACTCTATTCTCCATAATGCCATTACTTTGAATTCCCACTAGGCAAAACTTGACAAGGAAATGTGCCTTTTTTGGCCTGTTTCATCATCTTCAAAATGTAAACATTAGAATGTATTCTTTTCACAAAGCTATTGTGGAGATGTATATACACATAAAGTAATTTGAACAGAGACTGGTACACTGAAAGTATTCAATAAATTTAAGCAGGTATTTTATTAAAATGCAAGTAGGATTTTGATATGCCTTGGCTTAAACTAATTCTTTTTTTTTTTTTCTTTTTCACTGGGCAATGGCTCATGCCTATAATTCTACTCAGGAGGCTGAGATCTGAAGCTTGATGTTAGAAACCAGCCTGTACAGGCATATAATTCTCCAGTTAAGTAGCAAAAAGCCAGAAGTGGAACTGTGGTTTGGTAGGGCACCAACCTTATGCAGAAAAGGCTAAAGGAAAGCATCCAGACCCTAAGAGCAAGCCCCAGTACCAGAAATCCCCTCCCCCACTAAATCTAGCTAGGTAACATGCCTCACCTATGTAATCCCAGCTACTGAAGAGGCAAAGCTTAGGAAGCTTACGGTTCACAACCAGTCCAGGCAAAAAGTTAGCAAGGCACCACCATCTCAATAAAACAAGCTGGGCACAGAGATTCATGTTATCCCAACTAATCACTCAAGAGGGATAGGCAACAAGATCTGTAGCCCAGGCCAGCAGGAAAAGGCAAGACTTGACTTGAAAAATAAACCAAAAAGGGCTACCAGCATGGCTCAAGTGGTAGAGTGCCTGCCTAAAAAACACAAGGCCCTGAGCTCAAACCTACAATCATAAATCAATCCATTTAGATTTTCTAATACAACTAACAAGACTCTTTAAGATCTGACCTGTTGCAGGTCCTGGTGGCAAAAGCCTGTAAAACTCCACCTGAGAGACTAAGGCAAGAGGATAATGAATTTCAGGTGGGCCTGCGTCATTCCCCCAAGCCCCAAATGCAAAACTATTTGATGTTACCTGTCTGGTCACTAACTCCCTTTTGTCTGAACTTCACATAATACTGATGCTTCCTCTGTGTGTCACCTGGGTCATTTACTCATTTTACTTATCAACTTAGAATTTATTTTGTCCAGGACACTTTTATTGACCATTCATAGAACACAATAACCTTTACTATAACAATCCAACTCCATCCACCACTGTCATGGCTGCTTTCTCAGTAGTATTCCCCACTACCACCAGACAAGCAGCTCTAGGAGGAAAGAAATGATCACTGTCCACTAAACTTCAGTACTCATACCACAGAAGAATGGGCATTCATTAACTATCTGGATTGCATTCATTTTAGGAATTATAGAAATCATTTACCAGTGGGATTTTTAAAAATATGTACCAGAACTGGGGCTTGAACTCAAGGCCTGGGCATCAGCCTTGAGCATAAAAGCTACAGGACAGTGCCCAGGCCCTCAGTTCAAGCACCAGTTCTGGCACAGATTTTAAAAATAAAATAAAAAAAATAACGGGGCTGGGAAGGTGGCTCAGTGGTAGAGCACTTGCCTTGCATGCTCGAGGCCCTGGGTTCGATTCCTCAGCACCACATAAGAAAAAAGCCGGAAGTGGCGCTGTGGCTCAAGTGGTAGAGTGCTAGCCTTGAGCTGAAAAGCTGAGGGACAGCGCCCAGGCCCAGAGTTCAGGCCCCACGACGGGACCCAAAAAATAAAATTAAAAAATAAAATAAAAATAAAAAAATAAATCCGGGCTGGGAAGGTGGTTCAGTAGTAGAGTGCTTGTCTTGCATGCATGAGACTCTGGGTTCAATTCCTCGGCACCACATAAGCAGAAAAAGCCAGAAGTGGCGCTGTGGCTCAAGCGGTAGAGCGCTAGCCTTGAGCTGAAGAGCTGAGGGACAGCGCCCAGGCCCAGAGTTCAGGCCCCATGACCTACTGGGGGAAAAGAAAAAATCCCACTGCAGTTTTAACAACAGTGAATGGCTTATATAAATATCGAATACACTTTAAACACCACTCAGGATTCAGACATTTGACTTAAATCTGGCAGAGATCATCACAGCTTCTCCAGAAAAAAAACCAAAAACCTTAAAATTATTCTACGTTGAATTATTCCCATTCATCCCACTCTATCACAAATAGAAACAAGGGATTTCTCCCTGGAATACACTTTACTACTTTTTTTTTTTTTTGCCGGTCCTGGGGCTTGAACTCTGGGCCTGGGCCCTGTCCCTTGCTTCTTTTGCTCAAGGCTAGTGCTCTACTACTTGAGCCACAGCTCCACTTGAAGCTTTTTTTTTTTTCTTGTAGTTTACTTAGAGAGTCTCACGGGCTTTCCTGCCCAGGCTGGCTTCGAACCTCGATCCTCCTATCTCTGCCTCCTGAGTAGCAAGTATTACACGCGTGAGCCACCGGCCTACATTTTTTTTTTTTTTAAAGAAAGCAGTTCTGCAGTCTAGGTAAAATCGTTAACTATAGCGATAGTAACTACCTATTAGGGACATCCTTTAAGAACCCCAGGATCACTAATATCCAAGTCAAAAGCACCAGACTTTAAGGTACAGAAGGCTTCACAGCTCTCCTGACACCGAATCTGCTGCCAGATGGCAAAGCCCATCGGCCAGGCCCTCTCATCCTCTGTATTAACGCCGGGAAGGGGGGGGGTGCGGTTCTCCCCACACGCGTGGCTCTTCCGTCTCCTCAAACCCGAGCACCCCAAGGAGGCCGCACCCGCGTCACGGGGCCCAAGGAGGCCGCACCCGCGTCACGGGGCCCAAGGAGGCCGCACCCGGGTGGCCCTGGTGCGCCTCGGCCCAGAACCCCGAGACGTCCGGCCGCCCGGCCCCCCGGCGTCCCCGTTCGACTCTGCGGCCCGACGTGGGTCCGCAGGTGGGGCGCCGCCTCAGGAAAAACCGCGGGCCCCAAGTCCCCGGAGAGGCACAGCCGCCGCGCCCTCACCTCCGCCGCCGCCTCCTCTTCCCCGGGGTCCAGTTGATCCAGGCTCCAGCCCAGGGACGTCGTCGCCTCCTCCAGCGTCCGGCAACACTTCTCCACGAACTCGCTCAACTCTACCTGCAGCCGCCGCCGCTCTTCAATCGGAGGTGGCTCGTCCTCCATGGCCGCGGCCCCTTCACAACCCAGGAAGGAGGCGAACTGTACGCGGCGAGCGCGGGAGCTTCTGGGAGGTGTGGGCGGGGCCTCGGAGCCACGTGACTTCAACAGCCTACCAGCGAGAGCCTGGGAAGAGCGCTGCGGGGAGCTAGAAGAGCGCTGCGGGGAGCTGGCGATGTAGTCTTTCTGACACTTCCTGTCTGGTGCCTTTCCTGCCTTGTCTCCTCGCCTGGGTAGATGGATGTCTTTGTCCCTGGCCTTTCTTGAATGGCATCCCCACCTTCTTCAACTGTCTTTTGTTTTTGTTTTGCGGGTCCCGGGTCTTGAACTCCAGGCCTTGGGCGCTGTCCCTGAGCAGTGTTTGTGCTCCAGGCCAGCTCTAACGCTTGGGCCCCAGTGCCACTTCCAGCCTTTTTGAGGAGTTTATTGGAGATAATAGTCTCATGGGAGTTTTCTGCCAGGGCTGCCTTCAAACCCTGAGCCTCTGATCTCAGACTCCTGAGTAGCTAGGATTACAGGTGTGAGCCACCGACACCACACTTGTTTTGTTTTTTTTAGGGGGGGAGGGGGAAAAGCTACTGGCCTATTCCTATTTGTAATCCTCGCTACTCAGGAGACTGACATATGAGAATTCAGATTCAAAGCCAACCTGGGCAGAAAAGTCCATTCATGAGCACCTTGGACCTGATTTAAAGCCCCAGTACTGGCGCGCGCACACACACTGAGATACACATACACACACAGAGAAATTATAGTTTCAAGGGCTGGGAAGGTGGCTCAGTGGTAGAGTGCTTGCCTTGCAATGCATGAGGCCCTGGGTGCGATTCCTCAGCACTACATAAGCAAAAAGAAAAAAGCCGGAAGTGGCGCTGTGGCTCAAGTGGTAGAGTGCTAGCCTTGAGCTGAAGAGCTGAGGGACAGCGCCCAGGCCCAGAGTTCAGGCCCCATGACTGGACCTCCCCCTCCCAAAAAAAAAAAATTATAGTTTCAGAAAAAAAAACACCCACAAAAAGTTTAAAGAACACAGAAAATGTATAGCCATCCTCCAGAGCACTGTTAATATTTCGCCACATTTTAATTTCTCTACACACAGCCTCACATTTATTTTGCTAAATTTCTTGAAGGTAAATTGCAGAATCTTCACCCCTAAATAATAGTATGTTTGACTTCAGCACATTATCCTAGGTTACAAATCTAGGATGACAAAATTCATAAAATCATCTAATATATAGTTGAAATTTCCCTTTGTCCCCTAAATTCCTTTCAAACATTCATTATGTTTTACCCTATGATCCATATAATTGGTTACTATCTCTAATCTACAACAGTATCCCCTATCATCCTCTTTGTCAATGATTTTTGAATGAGTCTAGTCCAGTTTTCTATAAAATCCTTCATTCTGGATTTGTCAGTTTTCTCTCTCATTGATTAACTTAGGTATATTTTTCAGGAATACCACACAGAAAATGTATATCTTTTATTATATATCCCATAGACATATATATATATATTAGATCCTTTTAACAGTGCTAAATGTAATCCCTTGGTAAAGGAAGTAATTTCTCATATATAATATCATATATACACATATACGTATATTTGTCTGTCCTGGGGCTTGAACTCAAGACCTGGGCACTGTCCCTGAGCTCTTTTGCTCAAGGATAGCGCTCTACCACTTTGAGCCACAGTGCCAATTCCAGTTTTCTGCTGGATAATTGGAGATAAGAGTCTGCCTCAGATCTCAGCCAATGACCAGCTTGGTAACTAGCAAGTGGTCTCTGGCCATATTTTGACATATCCTGAGACCCTTAACTATTTCACACAACTCTTCACCAAATCTGGTATTACAAATTATCAATGATGGTTCTCACACAGTATTACATCTTCTAAATTTATTAGTGAGCATTCTTTCCATGCCTGTTTTGTCGTTTACTGTGGAATCAAGAAGTATGACAAATAAAGGTTTTAAAATTTAGTATTATGTACTCCATTACCATAATTCCTATTAATACTCAAGGGAATCCACATCAAACTACCACCCTGTGTGCCACTGACATCTCCCCTGTAGTCATTGGGTTCTTTGCTTTGATAGACTGCTCTTAAGACCTGGAATCGGGTCTTAATCTTGTCTTTACATCTAGTTTAAATTGCCAGAATATCAAGCTTGATTGTCAAATGTGTGCTTCCCTTTGCACTTTTTTTACTCTCATGAAGGAACTATGAAGGAAAAATTTTTGAACACCTTTAAAAAAAACACAAAAACTATTAGGCCAGACATGGGTGGCTTATACCAATAAAATCCTAGCTTTCAGGAGACTGAGATCTGAGAATTGTGGTTTGAACCCAGCCTCAGCAGGAAAATTCTTTGAGACCCTTATATCCAATTAACCCTCAGAAAGATGGAGGTGGAGCTGTGGCTCAAGTAGCAGAGGGCTGGAGGGGAGCTGGGCGCCGGTGGCTCACACCTGTAATCTTAGCTCCTCAGGAGGCTGAGATCTGAGGATTGAAGTTCAAAGCCAGCCTGGGCAGGAAAAGTCTGTGAGACTCTTATCTCTAATAAACCACCAGAAAACCAAAAGTGGCACTGTGGCTCAACTGGTAGAGTACTTGTACTTGACCTTGAGCTAAAGAGCTGAGGGACAGTGCCCAGGCCCAGAGTTCAAGCCCCATGACTGACCAAACAACAAAAAATGCTAAAGGATAATGACCAGGTCCTGAATTCAAACCTTGAGATTAGGGAGGACAAAAAAAGCTTTGGGTAGCTCAAATAATATCTAATCTTAATTGTTTTCTTGTTGCCAGTGTCCAGCATATACACTGCTGACATATAGAAGCTGTCCTGATTGTTTTATATGTTTCATCCCCATTCATACTGCAAATACCTTATCAAGTATTATAATTCTACTGAATAAAGTACTGAGCCCAATACCAGACATAGGTGCTATGGTTTGTACATGAAATGTCTCCCCCTAAGCTCACTGTGGAGGGCATGATCCTTCATTGATGTTGCTATATTAGGAAGTTCTGGAACCTTTAGAAAGTGGGAACTAGTGGAAGAAATAGGTCACTGTGTTGTGGCTTTGGGGCCTTTATCTTCTCTTACTCTCATCTCTATACTGCTCTCCCACTTCCTCTTCCTCCTTGCCTCTCCTTCCTGCCAGCCATGCAATATGTAGCCTCTGCCTCTTGCTCCTGCTGGAACAATGGCTTCACCACTGTGTCAGAAACCAGGCCCAGGTTTACAGACTGAAACCTCTGAAAGCATGAGCCAAAGTAATTTTTCTAAGTGATTTTTCTTGAGTATTTTCCATAGTACAAAAAAGCAACAGTATTTATTAAAGTGAATTTGGTGATAAATTAATTGGAAGCATTTTATTACTTTCTCTTTGATTCAAAGGTGTAAGCTTATTATTTATTGTCTTTCAACAAAGCACCAGGAACTCTTTTGGAGTAATCATTTTCATAAACTCAAGGACAGTTCTCTCCTCTTGGTGGACAAAAATGAAACACTGCCTGTTTTTAGTCACTTCATGATTTTTCAATATTATAATGGTGTGGGGGTTTTCTGTCAGTCATGGGGCCTGAACTCGGGGCCTGGGCGCTGTCCCTCAGCTCTTCAGCTCAAGGCTAGCACTCTACCACTTGAGCCACAGCACCACTTCTGGCTTTTTCTGCATATGTGGTGCTGAGGAATCAAACCCAGAGCCTCATGCATGCAAGACAAGCACTCTACCACTGAGCCACCTTTCCAGTCTATAATGGTGATTTTTGCCAGTGCTTTTTGGAGCATGTGTCCCACAAACCAGAACAGGGTTGTGACATCTCAAATACCCTGTTTTCATAGGCTTCTTTCTAAACTATGTTAGTTCAAAGAACTAACTTCAGGGAACAAACTTCTAACAAGAATTCCAGGGCTGGGAAGGTGGCTCAGTGGTAGAGCGCTTGCCTTGTATGAATGAGGCCCTGGGTTCGATTCCTCAGCACAACATAAGCAAAAAGAAAAAAGCCAGAAGTAGCGCTGTGGCTCAAGTAGTAGAATGCTAGTCTTGAGCTGAAGAGCTGAGGGACAGCGTCCAAGCCCAGAGTTCAGGCCCTGTGACCGGACCCAAAAACAAAACAAAACAAAACAAAAAAGAATTCCAAACTAAGCCAGGCATTGGTGGCTCATGCATTTAATCCTAACTATTCAGGAGGCTGAAATCTTAAGAATCTCAGTTCAGAGACAACCCAAGCAGATAAACCCATAAGAACATCTCCAGATGGATGACTAGCAAAAAAAAAAGTGCAGGTACAGTTCAAGTGGTAGAGTGGAGTGCCAGCCATGAACAAAAAAGTGGAATAAGACCTCAAGGCACTGAATTTAACCCTCTGTATGGGGAAAAAATAATATAAAATATTTTAATGGTATTTCTTATTAGACTTTAAATAAATGGCTTTAGACCTGTTTGTGATAAAAAGCTGCTAAATGCAGTATGTATGAACATTATTAAGTCAAAGCACAAAACTTCCAAAGTCCAAAAGTTTATTGCTAGAACAGTAAACTTCATAAAGACACCTTTTTTTTAAGTACATAGAAAATGACAAGCAAAATAAACAGAAAACTTTGACCAAAGAAAAGCAAAGACTGCTGCTATCATGAGCAAATTAAAACCAAACCAAACAAGTACATTAAAGAGTATTCAGGTTATACAATCTATGTTCTTAAACTAAAGCCCAAGTACATGGAGTTTGGGTTGGGGGTGAGGAGAGGGGGTGCAATTTTTCACCTAATACAGAAAATGTAAATATTTAGATGAGAAACAGCATGTTGACTAAAATATCAAAGATCAATTTATTGTCTCCAAGAATAGAAATGTGCCTCAAAGGCCAAAAAGGGATTCAAGAACAGATCAAAAACCTAAAATAGAGGAATTCTAAATTCAATGTGTGCTATCCTTACAAGAGATTAGCCCTTCATCTACACTACACTAGCTGCACTAGCTAAATGAACTGAAAGAAGAAAAACCAGAACTGCCTTCCCTACTCATTGCACCCATGGGTTTGTTT